AAATGACGAGTGCCTCTAAGTGGCGATGTCTATTCGCAGTCTATTGAAGGGGGGACTCAGCGTTCGTCTTGCTTGAAATGGGCCCTTAACACATGTGCAGGTGATGGTAGTTACGATGATGAACAGGTGCACATGTGTGCCGTCTGCATTAGGCCTAAGTAGATTTCAAATGTGTAAAGTTTCGACATTTTACATTGTATACTAAATCATTTTTATATTCTACATCATAATTATTAGATAATCTGTGTCTTCTTACAACTTTTCAAACATATATCAACCACACTCCGTCTTGCCCTGGGTACGGGGCAAAATGGGGCAAGTTACATTCTTGTAAAGATATTAATAACTCTTAGAACTAAACTAATAAATCATTATAAATCTCAAATAGACACTAAATCCACATAAGGTTCCTCCATGTTTTTATCATCATAATTGTCCCTTCCACATGCCTCCAAAGATTAAGCTCCCCGTTCTGCCCTGGTCACCCCTATCTTTTGTTTAAGAAAAGGATTTAAATTTCCTAACTCAAATAGCAGCATATTTCGAATAATCTACAGTCATCATAAGGCATCTATTCATACGACAAAGCGCCGCCAACGCCGTGATAACCTCAAATTTATCATAATTAATTACATATTCAGTAGAGGGATTTTAAAGTTTTATTTGCTGTCCAATTTTACCAGAGCCAGTTCGTATTTAAAGAATCACAATTATGAATAAAACAGGAAATTATTAAAATATTTATACGTCTATAGTCTACCAATTAAAGTAAATATTGCATGAAAGTGTAACATCCCAAGCAAATCAGTTTCGCTGTTATCCACTGCATTCCTTCTGGCGCCTTTGGCTGCCCACACGCCGCTTTAAAATCTACATTATTAAAATCTGTCACAAAACACTGGTCTTTCATTCATTATTATAATCTTGAGCTTCCGGTGAGTCATCGCTGACGGAAAGTAAATTATTGTAGCGAAAATCTATTTGTAGAGAACTATGTGGTAAATTTGGACGTGAATTAATGGGAAAGCGATTTAAACCACAAGAACTTAAATCTATAAACGTAAGTGTACTGATCAGAAACTCCTTTCCCTCCATATTCAAAAAAGGATTCTTTGCCAGTGAGAGATCTTGCAGATTATCGGTAAACACGAAAGTTTCTGGGTGTATAGATGTGATATTGTTTTCTGAGAGATCCAAGACTTTCAACGTTCCTTGCCCGACAAACGTTCGAGCTTCAATTGTCAATATTACATTGCAATTCAAATACAATGCTTCCAGACCTGTGATCTCAAGATACAAAATGGTGTGGTTTCTAAGAATTTCTATTCTGTTACCAGACGCATCAATAGTCTTCGTGTGTCTGTCGTATCCTAAGCGTGGTAGTTCAGACAGCCCAGATCCAGTACAGTTAACCATCACTCTGTCTTTGTCTTCACATCTGAAAACACGACAGGATGCTAATATTGCTCTCGTAACCCACTCACGGACGGTAGAAGTACCCTTATTATATACACAAAAGATTCCTCAGGGCCCAATTAATAGTTCGCAAAAATTGTTTGCAAAGTTCGTCTGGGCAAATGTGATTTTCACCATTTCCTCGCCTACAACTATTAATGGGAATAAAAACAAAAACTTGGCACGTATGTACCAAAAACAAGCAACTAGATTAGAAATATACCATGCATTTCACATCCGAGCACAATTTTTACATGACGTTTCTTCAATTATTGTTAAGTTCTAAACTCTTGTGCTTGTCTTTATGTTCATTTGTTGAACCGACAAATCTACCACTGACAGAGACGATCAAAAGTAGATATAACAACCTTCCATGTCACGTGGGTATTTTCACGAAATCTTGAGAAACCAACTTCCTTCCTACACTATTTATTTGTTCTACAACAGATGCGTTTCAGACCTCATGAGACCTTCATCAGTGTTATCATACCAACTAACTTCCGGCCATTTGAGTATTTAAAATCACTATGTTACAGTTCTAAAACTACCTTATCAATGTCATATTATGAAACCAAAATAACCAACAATCCATAGCAAATCCTTAAAATGTTAAAATATAATGTTATTGTAACTGCAATGTAATTCGGCATCCTTGTGCATGATATACAGTCGTGTTCTACACTCCTTATGTATTACTAAAATAACTATGTGTTGCTATGTACTGATTTTCTCCCACTATCGATATCGAGATCTAATTCTAAGTAGTGGAATGGCAACGCTGATGAAGGTCCCACGAGATCTTTAACGAGTCTGTTGTAGTGCAACATAAAATGCTTAGAAATGACTTTTGCACGATTTCGTACGAATAGTTACCTTACACTTCAAGGCAGATATAAAAATTTTTTCATTGCGTTCCTCTAAATACAGGTGAGTCAAAATTATGTTTTCAAACTTTGTGTGCGTGTTCCAGGATCAAAAATAAGAAAAAAATATTCCTATGAACATGGGGTGGCAAATGTTTCATTTTCGAAATAATAGACAAAAATAACTTTCAATGAATTCACTTTATATCAAAGCGAATCCAGCTTCTAGCAAACATTTATTGTTGGCGACATGCTTATTGGTCCACACATGCTTCCATCACGTCTAAGAGGACCTTCATATCGGCGATACTTAAGAAGACATTTGCCACGTCTCCTTGAAGATGTACCACTGAATACAAGAAGACAAATGTGGTTTATGCACGACAGAGCCCCAGCACACTTCTC